AACTCACAGATCAAACCCTGAAACAACCTCTGGGCTGATCTAAGTCAGGGCATGGCTAACTCACAGATCAAACCCTGAAACAACCTCTGGGCTGATCTACAGTCAGGACAAGGCTAACTCACAGATCAAACCCTGAAACAACCTCTGGGTTGATCAAAGTGAGGATCCGACTACCCTGAAACAACTTCTGGGCCAAATAACTTTTATGTAATAAAAATCTTGGATAGTCTTGACCAATTATACGTCATCTTTGGTGAAATAAAATTTTGCACTGTCTCGTCCAATCATACACAGTGTACTAACTGAATCCACCAATCATATTCTATGTATTAAACATGTTCTTGAATTCTATTTTACCAGGTCACGGATCTTATGCACAAGGCGTTGTACAATTATCTTAAGAAGAGATTTCATGGAAGGTAAAAGAGAAAAAGGAGTAAAAGTACTTCAAAGTACAAAATATTTGCACGCCCTTGGAAGGTCAATCTGTTCGTTTTCTTATTTTTATTTTTTTTATCAACAGAATAGTGCTAGGCTTCTAAAAATAGCCTTTTTCTTCAGAATAGTGCTAGGCTTCTAAAAATAGCCTTTTTCTGCAGAATAGTGCTAGGCTTCTAAAAATAGCCTTTTTTCTGTAGAATAATGCTAGGCTTCTAAAAATAGCCTTTTTCTGCAGAATAGTGCTAGGCTTCTAAAAATAGCCTTTTTTCTGCAGAATAGTGCTAGGCTTCTAAAAATAGCCTTTTTTCTGCCTTTTCTCACTAACTGATTCATTTGTATCTCAAAATAAATAAATAAATAAATAAAACCGCGCGCGAGAACCGAGGAAACACACTTCTTACCAGTCTCTTTCCGCTACTCGGTTCGTCTTTGCCTTGCGCACATCCATAAAAAAGGCTCCAACTCTGGACCAAAAATCTAATTCCATTTCTTCCGTTGTCAAGGATACACATCTTCAAAGCCCATACAGATATTGGTCAGTCTAAAAGATCAACCAAGTCCAACGCAAGCGAAAAAGAACGGTTTGGGTTGACAAAAAGTGCGAGTCGCGGAGTCACAGGTACGTATACAACGAGATATCGTTTACGAGTGATTTTGATTAGATGAGAAGTGATCTCGCGCGCGCAGACGTTCTGGTCGAGGAGCAGCTATTGATCACCACTCTATTTGACATATAACTTAAACACACATTTATTTTTGTCACAGCCGAAATCCAACGAGAAATAGAACAGATCTACGAACTTTCAAAAAGTCTAAATATAGTAATTATAGACAGTGAGGTCATCAACCACCCGTCACAGCTGACCGACTGTTCGCTGGCTCCAGTAATCGTCTACATCAAGATGCTTCCCGACATCCTTCAGAAGCTGATTAAACTACGAGGCCGAAGCAAGAAAAATATGAACGTACAAGTAGTGGGAGCACAGAAACTACTACAGTGTCATGAGGTTAGAACCGAGAAATAAATCCATTACGTCTAAATGTGTCTCTATGTGACTATAGATTCTTGAGTCACGTGACTATATAGATTCTTGGGTCATTTGAGTATAAATAGATTCTTGAGTCACGTGACTAAATAGATCCTTGAGTCACGTGACTAAATAGATACTTGGGTCATGTGACTAAATAGATTCTTGGGTCATTTGAGTATAAATAGATTCTTGAGTCACGCGACTAAATAGATCCTTGAGTCACGTGACTAAATAGATACTTGGGTCATGTGACTATAAATAGATTCTTGGGTCATATGAGTATAAATAAATTATTGAGTCACGTGACTAAATAGATTATTGGGCAATGTGACTATAAACAGATTCTTGGGTCACATGACTATAGATGGATTCTTTGGTCAAGTGGATATGATAATATTCTTGGGTCACGTGACATCGTAAATAGCTTTGTAAGGTCATGTGACTATAAAATTAGATTGGGACACGTGACGCCATAAATAGCTTCTTTACGTCACGTGACTGCAAAAACATTCAGTACCTGATATAACTATAAATACAATTGGTTTGTCATGTGGGTCGATCCTCAGGATCTCCTCGTCTCTCTAGACTTCTCTCTAATCCGTATAGTTTCAGCTTTGAATACCTTTAAAACAGACCAGTTTCCTGGACGACCAGCTTAGTACTAGCAAAAGGAACACTGACGTCAAATAAGGCCTTCACCTTTACTCTAAAAAGAAATACTAACTATTTCTTAGGCCATGTAACTAAATTTTCAAACGACTTAGTACGACATTAACCTATTTTTCCTTGTATTTCAGGAAATGTTCGATCTGTCACTAGACGAGGCGATCTTTGAAGATGCCTGTGCACATCTAGGTGAGTTTCTTGACCAGTACTGGAGGGATCTTCATCCCGATGATCCCGAGATAGCTAAACAAATGATGCTTACTGGAGCAGACTTCCCTGATCGACCCAACCCCATGCTATCCAGTGCCTCGGGAAGGTCTACCTCGTTCAAAGAGGCCAGTGAAAGAAAACAAAGCTTGGCTCCACTCAAACTCGACCATATTACACCGAGACTAAGCGTCAGCAGCGCTGAAGGAGCCCCTGGGTTCAAACAAGGTCTGGGACAAGGTCAAGGTCAACAGAAAATAAAGAAAGACGGCGAACCAAAGCATAAAGCATCACAGATCAAGCACAAGGTATCTGAGAGCGGGAGGCATAATGCGCCCGGATTTAGCGTGACACAGTACGAGGAATACCCCGCTGATACGAAAGGATACGAGGAGGAGCCACAGAATGGTTATGACTATTACTACAGGGAACAAGGATACGAGCAAGGCTTTGATTACGCAGCAGAAAACCCGTATGGTTCGCCTATGGCCATTCAGGAGTATGGGTCTGGTAACAACTACGGACAGGAACCCAACCAATATGATCAATACCAGGAGGGACCTTATCAAGAGGGATCTTATCAGCAGGGACATTATCAGGAGGGACATTATCAGGAAGGTCAAGGTGATTACGGCCAATATGGTGCCGATCAAGTAGGGTACCAACTGGATTATGGTCAAGAACAGTATGGCGACTCACAAAATTACATGCAGGATAGTCAATACGGTTACCAAGGCGACCAAATGCGTTATGACAACACGTCTCATCTCCATTCTGGTCATCCTTCTCAACAGGTACATGGCTATGGTCCCTATGACGACCGTTACCCTAACGAAGGTGGCTATTACTGAAATTAAGGTGGTTCGACGCAGAAATACAGAAAATATTGCGTTGTCAAGCAACCAGAGGCTGAAATAACGTCAAGAGTTAGCCTCTAAGCCAACTGTGTCAATCTCTCAATTGCCATTACGTTCAAAACGAATGAATTCAAATGAATTACAAATAATCTTGCGTGAACAAAACAGCACATTGATGATTCTGTCAAGAAATTTCTTTCAAACAAAAACGACGATATAACTATGGCAATATCAATATCATGAAACGTGACTCAAGCGTGACTCAATGGTTATTTTTAAAAACGTGGATCCGATTGGGTATGATCATTTAGACCGCGTGACTTAATTGCACGATGCCGGATAAGCCTGAATCTGATTGCCTAAGAATATGTGAATCAGTGGTAGAGTACGTGACTCAATTGCATGACTGAAAAGGGTGGATCCGATTGGCTAGGAACATATAGAACAATGCTAGACACGGTGACGTAATTGCAGAACTAATAAACGTATATCTGATTAGCTGTGTACAAAGCTTGAGTTTAAACAATGTGACATTCTTGCGTGACGTGTGCATAACTGTGAAGCTTACTAGCACAGTTATGAACTGCGTGACTTAATTACGTTACTCAATTCTTAATATGTTTCGAAGTGTTACAAGAATGGCAAGTTTATTTTTGTAGTTTGGACATGGTAAATTTAAGTAAGATAACAACTGCTGCAATACCTTTAAGACTAATCCTACATCATGAGGCGCGAAAAAATTATATTGATAAAATGAAATTCACAAGCTGGCAAAACCACGAAGAGCATGAATCTTGACTAATATACCTCTGCGAAAATGGCGTCTCAATATTTATCCATTTATTGCTATTAATCTGCACAAAATATTTATAGAAAACCAATGTATAAATTAACTACTATACTGTCCGTCCAGGTTGTAGATAAACTAGTTTGGACTGCAACACGAGTTCCAGGAATATATAGCAAGCACTGTCACGTGATTTGAAAAATATTATGAAATAATTCCGACGTTTCGAAATTAAGTGATATCTCTAATAAGCGGACATTCTTCATTAAACATACAATTTACTAGTTCTATATGTACTGTAAAACAAGCTTCTCTAAGCAGACACCGTTTATTAGACGAACACCAGGCAAGGTCCCAAAGGTGTCCACTTAATAGAGGTATCACTGTATTCACTTTAAAACAAACCTCTATTCAGCTGACACCCTTTATTAAAAGGATACCAGGTAAGGTCCCAAAGGTGTCCACTTAATAGAGGTGCCACTGTATTTACTATAAAACAAACCTCTATTCAGCCGACACCCTTTATTAAAAGGGTATCAAGCAAGATCCCAAAGGTTAAAATTATTTGAGTTGAAGAAAACTACCCTCTATTCCTTACGGTTCTCCACACCCAAACCCTTACAGACCCCCCTCCATCATCCCTATTCTATTTGATACGCTTTATCTGTTGAATCTACTTAAATGCAATAAATTTTTTTGTTTGCACATTGAAGTGAAAAACAGCTGTGTACTTAAGCGTGCTTTAATTCGCAAAGTGTTCGCTTTTGTTTGGTTTTGCGAGCGGTCGTATAAGAGAGGTGACCGTTGAATCAACAGCAGACCTACACACTTACAGACCAAATCGACCAAGATAGACCGACCGGTTTGGTTTGCGAGCGATTGTATACGAGAGATGACAAAAAAATCACTCGTACAGACCAAATATAAAAAAAATAGGCGGAACAAAACGAGCAACTGATAGATAAATCGACCATACCAACCAATAGGCCAAACTGAAACACCCACTTTCACTGGCAAGCAACATTGCGCACAAGACGAGTTAACAAAGTTTAAAACCCCAATTATTTTTTAACAATTATTATTTATTAATAAGTACTTAACCATCAATCTGACTGTACAGCCATCGAAATTATTGACTGCATTAAACAATTATCGTCTTCTAAAGCTCAGTAAAATGTTTACTAATTGAAGCATCACACAAATTTATCATTTACAAAAAGTTCATTTCTTGTCTCGAAAGGGTCCCTGTCAGCAATCTTTCTGTATTTTGTAAAATAATGACGTCACACCACAGGGAACCCGGACATAATTTTTCTAATAAAAATAGTCATGACGTATTACCACAGGAATCCCGGTCATACGRATTGTGCGGCAAATAATTTACGTTTCATCTTTATCGGTAACATTAAAAATAAAGTGCGCGTGGTGATTACAATCATAATCAATCGAAGAAGTCCTCGATGTATGACATCACAGCTGGTCATCACAGATGACTTAAAAGTTCAATTTCAAATTCCAAAGAGATTTTAACCAATCCAAGAAAGTCAGGTGTTACAGCAATTGACATCCCGGATGTAATTTGCATTAGCCGACGGAGGTCTGGTAACTAGCCCAAGCCATAGCTTTGACACTGTATTGCTTGAAGAAGCTTTTTCTTTAGGATTCTCTTCGATGGATAGAGAGGTATGCTCATCCGCTGACCACATGTGGTTGCCATGGGCAACGCCTTGGTGTTGCCGCTGATCACGTCGACAGTGATGCTCAGATCTTGGAGTCATAATTAAAAACCGGAATTGGCGTTAGAATTCAGGAAAGCGGATAAGGGATTAGGAATGACTGAAGTGAAAAGCATGGACATGGATTTCGAATGCAACACGATTTACGTGATGTAATTTACGTAGTGCAGAAGGTACAGCTTGTAGCCAAGTGTTTTCACAATATTGCATGCGGTACTTTTTACCAAAGGAGATTTATCTTTGAGCAAATAGTGTTTTTTTACTGACGGATATTTATGTTTTGCGAAAGTGGAGAAGTTTACAAACATGCAGTTTTATTTATTTGCCGCAAGTTTTAATTAAGGTTTAATTTAATGATTGTTATGATAGTTGATATAAAATTTTGTGTAAGCAAGACAAACATTAAATGAATAAATGGGAAAACAAAAATACAAATGTATATGAAATTAAGGATAAATGAAATTGTTACCTTGGTCAGGGTCGCGTCTATCGTTCATCACAGGAAGAACAGCACTACCGGTACAGAAATACAATAGCTGTTGACGCTGTAAGGCAGTCATCTTCTGCACAATAGACCAAAACCACCTGCAAAGAATGATTCGTTCTTAGAATCATACTTGTGTGGGAAGACCAAAGACAGACAGACAGACAGACGGACAGACAGACGGACAGACAGACGGACAGACAGACGGACAGACAGACAAATAGATAGAAACAGATAGACATACATGACGATCGAAAAGACAGACAGACAAATAGATAGAGGTTAGATAGACATACATGACGGATACCACACTGAGACAGACAGACAGACAGACAAATTGATAGAGAAAGATAGATGGACAGACAGATAGAAATACATGACTGATGGACACACTGAGACAGACAGACAGACACACATACAGATACAGAAAACGAATAGACAGGAAAACAAACAGAAAGACAGACAGAAATAAATCCAAGAACAGACGAACAGAGTTTTTTTTCCTCTTCAAATATAAGCTTCTAAAGTCCAGTTTAATCACGCAGCGAAGGCCACAAGGTTGCTAGCCATTGGCTATTATATAAAGCATTACCCTCGTACAACAGGGAAGATATATTTGTTTATATATTTGTACGGACAGGAACCTACCTCTTAAATCGTTCCAAGATGTCCTTAGAACAACCATTACTGTTAGTAAACGTGATTAAAGTGCGCAGTCTCGAGATGTCAATGTCGGTTGTACCACCTGACAGAAGAAGCTGAAAATCCTAGAAAAAAAATCAATCCAAAATAGTTAAGCCTGTTTTTACCAGAGACGCAAGCACAAACGCAAAAGGAAAAAAATTGATCCGATATTACGAACAACAGCAGACACCATTCCTGAATTTGATTGGCTCATCATGAAACAATCTTTCTAAGTCGAGGTTGGACTCGACTATGTTTACAGTCAATTCAAAAAACGTTGTCGTCGACCGGCTCAAGCCTACGCGACTGGACCGAAAGAAATATGGGTAAAAATCACTGAAGCGGTTTAAATATTCGTTCTGAATAAATTGTTCCCGCTAGTAATAAGATAATAATGGCGAGAAACAATCCATCAAATGCATGTCTTTGGGTTTGGGAAAGAAAAACAAGGTAGTTATGATTCAGTTCACAATTTCGAAAATATGAAGGCATTTAAAAAACGTCTCCTTCAACACTTCCCGCTCGCCTACGAACGTTCGTGCTGTAAACCAGGCATAACTAGTCAGATAAAATTATGCAGTCAACTCGGCTTCAATGATTACTACCCATAGTTCCTTTCGGTCCAGTCGCGTAGGCTTGAGTTGCTCGACGACAACATTTTTTGAATTGACTGTATACAATTACTGTATTTATCAACACCAACCTCGACTCAAGGGAAGCGAAAAGCGCTGCTTTTGCTTCGTTTGTATGTTTGCATTTAGAGAGTTTTTTACGCAGGGCTAACCTACCTCTAAACTTCCTTTCTATTCGGGGTGCTTATTTATTCATATTTTTGGCTGCGTGTTAGTTTTGCTTTCGCTCCTACTATTTCATTGTATGTTACTGATTATTTACGTCCTGAATAAACTACTATTGTATTGTATTGAAAAGGTCTATGAAGAAAATAAAAAAGATATGTGCTTAGTGGATCGTACGTACCTCAGGTGAAAGGGTCACTAGGAGTTCAGAGGGTATGACGTCATGGAGACCGTTCCTCATACATCTTAGTTCTTCCTCAACACACCCGACCATGACTTTAGTAGCATACAACCTGGAAAATAGATAGCATACTGGATAAGTGGGATGCCTGTGGTGATGTGACTAGCCACTCACAAGGCAGGAAATACCCCTAGCAAATTTAATGTCTTAATGTTTTTGCACCCCCACGCTAATCACTGGTTGGGAATATCCAGTTTCTCCCTAACCTCCTCCCCCTGGGGTCTTTATTTTACACCTTGCCCCACCCCACCCTCGAACAATGGTCAACCATGGAAAGAATATAGGGAGTTTCGCACTACCATTTTTTTCTAGGTCAATTTCTAGTGAACATTTCTCCTCCCCTTCCCCTCACGGGATTTTTTGCACTTTACTCCGTATCCCMCCTTACCCCACCCTCCACCCTCTAACATTGGTCAACCATGGAAAAAATATAGGAATTTTCACACTGTCATTTTTTTCCTAGGTCAATTTCTCGCAAATATTTCTCCTCCCCTCCCCCCACGGGATTGTTTTTACTGTACTCCTTATCCCTCTGCCAAGATTATTCCTTAATGCTTCTTACCTAACATATTTAAAGATGTTACTGGGTGTGACAGGAATCTGAGAGCCATCAGGCAGTAACTCCTCAGTAGTACCCCCCACGGAAGTCTGCAGGAAAACAAAAAAAAAAAAAAAATGGTAAGAAAAATCATAGACAGGTGAATAAGGAACTGGTTGAACAGGGCAGACGTTTTTCAAAGTACAGGCCACTGACATAGAAAGACAAACGTTTCCTCAATAACTGACTGACTAGCCCACCAATTGACCGACGGACCGACCGACGGACCGACCGACGGACCGACCGACGGACAGATCGACCAACCGAAAGACCGACTAACATCAATAGAGGTTTTGCACCACCACGTGACCGCAGCCATGTTAGATGGCAGGAACAATACAGTCGTTTTACATAAGAAAGAATTAAATTCTCAAGAGCAAAGGGATTTTATTGTTCTGCCATCTAACCACAGGTAGCCCAAGCAGTATTATGGGATGGGCACGTGATGGTGCAAAACCTCTATTGACTGCCTAACTAACCTCAAAATGACAGCAGTAAGTGGCCTGGAACCTCTCTGACGTCATCAGCGGATGTGCAGCATCGATCATCATTCGACTGAGGCCTTCGAAAAGGTCAGCATTGAAAAATATCAAGTCTTCCCATGTGACATCCCTAGAATAATACACAGAGATAAATACATTTAGTATATAGGCATAAATGTGTAACTGGGAAATACTTTTTTACATATCCTCGCTAGTGAAGATATCGATGACGTATTTTCCAATGTTTTCCTGCTCTTTTTAACGCGCGTTTAACAAGTTTTTGTTGGTGAAATTGTCTACATAATAAAACAGAAAATTACACGCTGGCTTGATGATATGAAGTTTATCTTATTGTGTTGAAAAATATTTCACTGGGTGGCTGCGCTTGCTCGTGAAGTATTTTCACCACTCGTAGATAAACTTCATATCTTCGCGCCACCGTGTAATATCCTTTATATATCAAAGGCAGTGAACAATACACAATATTTAGTAAGCGCAAGTGGTTTGCACTCGTAATACACAGTCTTAAATAGTTCTAGTTCTCACCTATCCAACAGGAACTTGATGACATGTCTGCTAAAATTCAGTGGAACGGTATTATTGAACCACAAGCTGAGTCCAAGAAATCTGCCAATGGCTGTGAACATCTTGAGACGACGAGTCTACAGATAATGAACACAAGAACTTTAGAAATCAAAATGTCTTAAAATGCTTATAGACGTCTTTGCCTTCGGCGTAATGTTTCCCCATTTCAGACTAAGTGTTATTCCATGGAGTATCATTTCTTTGTTCAACGGTTGTGCATGAGAAGACATAGGAAAATGGATACAAAAGAATGACACGTGGAATTTAGTCTTGTCCATTTTTTGTCCATTCCACTTTCTTGTCCATTATTTTCTTGAGTAATAAGTTCATTTTTCATTCATCCCTTTTATCCCTTTATCCTCATTCTACAGTATACCTTAAGCTGTTCGTAGTTCCTTATCGTAGATTCTCTCGAAGCAAATGGTTTAGGCGCGTAAAAGCCGCTCTGTTCTGGAAGCTTCCCAGGCTCATGTAGAAGAGAGGTTGTCTCGGGTGGGAGCTGTCAATAAACAAGATTATATGCGATTTTTAAGATATTGAACATGGTGCATTGTGGTCTTACTTGGGTACAAACATCTTTTCTTTTGTTCACCATGCCTCATAAGAACATGGTGCATTGTGGTCTTACTTGGG